GAACATGTCATGGCCATCTTGGCTCTCACATGTGCAGTTGTTCTCACACCTTTCTGATGAATGTGCCACTTCTTAGACTTCAGTCTGGCGGTCCCATCAAGACTTTACGGCCTCGGCCTTGTTTTCACAGGAATCTACGTGACTGGAGGGGCCCCCGCGGCCTGTGGCCCCTTCGGTGGTCCTACTGCCTCTGCAATTACGGCCCTCTGTTTGAACTGGTGTTTGGTTTCAAAGAGCAGTAGGACCTGAGGTAAAAAACAAAAGGTGGTGGGGTGTCCCGCCGACAGACCGCCCCTCTTTCTCATGTGAACCACAGCGTGAACTCTGCAGAACAATAAGTGCCAAACTGGGGCTGGTGTTTTGAATTTAACTGGCATTTATCCATTGGATCGTGGTGTACTTGTCCATTAGTAGTACTGAGGAATGAACTTCTGTCTTGTGAGCAGTTGGGCATGTGGATGAAGGCTGTATTAGGTCTCCAACCCCTCAGGCCCGGGGTCTGCCCCCAGAGCTGTGGGTATAATGACTGTTTACTGCTCTTTTGTGTCACTGTCTCTTTCCGCTTTGCTTTCATCCACTGGGCATTGTCTGTGAGAGAGAGCTCTACAGTCTTCCTGTCTGATTCACTCACTCATCTGTATGCACACATACACACACACACACACACACACACACACACACACTCCCACAGGAGAGGTGGGGGGGGCTCAAAGCCTGTGTCACACATACCAGGCTATATGAGGGCAGTTTTCATACAGCGTGGGTCCGTTCATCCTGTACTCTGTCACCCAGACGTTGACAAAAAAACAAACAAAACAAAACTCTCCCTTTAATTATGAACCTCAAACAGAACCAGACGTAGAAAAATCTGGACGGCCTTTGTCTGGAAAACAAAGGGGGAACCAGAAGAAAACAGAGCAATTCAATTCCCTCACATACTGTTGTCTACAGAGGGTGATAAGTTAAACCATCTTCAAGAGAAGCAGTCTGTGTGAGAGTCAAATCTGATAAAGGGCTAAATGTCTTAGACATAAAGTTGTGTTGATGCTTGGACAGTCCACTGACGCTCAGTGTATCTGTAAGCCAGACATCCTGGGTTTTTATCTGTCCATAAGCACATGTGCCTCTGGTCACAACACTTAACCCCTGAGTGGCTCATCATTCCCAGATCCACATAGAGCCAGAACAAAGCCTGGAAAAGTGGGCAGTGTTGTGTCAGGGAGGGCATCTGGCACAGAAACTGTGACAGGATCTGTTTATGGATTACCAGTGTCTGCTGGGAAACTGAGCCAAGAGGGATTTTCCTCCTATCAGAACCGTTTTTAACTGAAGAACACGACAGGAGCAAACATTTTACGTCCCCTAGATTATGATGTAGCGCGATCTGGAATACCACAGGTAGAGCTGGAGATGTAGCCATTAAAGACACTGAGGTATTATTAAAGAAGAAATGTAAGTCCACTGATCTGTTGTTGTTAATTCTTAAGGGAGTGGCAGAAAAAAAGATGATTTCTTTCATTCTGACCCAAAATAAAATTTAAACTTTTTATTTTTATTTCACAAGAACTATTAGCATTTTTTTGGTAAGGCTATGAACTAAAAATGGACTTAAAGCATAGCACTCTAAATATCTAAATTGAGTGACAATTAAGGATTAAGATAAAGGTGGCATCATTATTGACCCCAAAGAAACAATGGTGTTGGCATTATGGGAGTAAAAGTCAGAGAACTCCATTAGAACAAGTGGAACTGTGCGGTCCACACTAACAGTGCAGGTGCAATAGGAAAAAATCAAGCCCGTTCACTTCCTCACTCCTCTTTGTCGAACATCCCACAGTCTGCATCAGTCATGACAGACTAATCACATACACGTCTGACACTGTGTAACACCATGAAGAGTTCCCCGAACCATTCAGCAACAAGTACGTAGACCGTGAGCGGCCTGGTGATCATATCCAGCTGAATCACTTTTGAAGCTGTGACGCATGCAGTGTTGTTACTGAGTCACATTGGAGGTCAACAGTGTAGGCGCGTCATTCAACAGGCCGCAGCCGCAGGTTGCGAACGGCGCTGCCAGTGTGACGCAGCTCATGACATGAAAGTATGCTGAGGGTGCAGCGCCACCTGTTAAATCGCAGGCTCCGAGTGAAGGCAAAAGTTAGTCCCGCCATCAGCTGACTGTAGCATGACAGTGTGGGAGAATGTGAGGAATGTGCTGATCCCATGTCGCTCGCGCCCCTCTACCGTGACCCCTCCCCTTCTGCTTTCCTAACCGGCACAACGGCCCTGTTGTTTTAAAGACCTTTTAACATGCAAACGATGAGAGCGAGGGTTTTTCTGTCTCCACAGCCAAAGTCAAGTCAGTCCAAGTGACACAGATCCTGTATTCATCCTCTCGACACAATATAAGGCCAGTGGTGGAGGAGACGTTTATAAGCTTCAACACTCGCACACATCCAATCCAGTGAAGAGCTTACGATAAATATTCATCGTACACCCACAGGAGGCATACATTTTCATCAGGTCGAGGAGAACTCTGCTCTGTGTTGGAATAAAGTCGGCATTATTCCAGTCATCAGGAGCTGAGAAAAGAACTCACGGCAATTAAACCATCAACATCCAGAGAAACTGGTTGTACCTCCAGTACTGCATTACTGAGGTGGTTTGGTATTCAATTCTCTGGCGTCATGTAGTACAATTAAATAATAATACTTAATGAGGACATTAAGTACTTATTAAGTACATAATAAGATGTTCTATAACAGTGTTTCCCAAAACTTTTTTTCTGGGAACCCATATTTTAAAAGTCACAAACCTTCATGAACCAAGTCATTAGATATTATTCGTGAATTCCTGGGAAATATGATGTGAGACGACCCAGAAACAAACTCTTGCGACCCACCTAAGGGTCACAACCCACTGTTTGGGAAACAATGTTCTATAACATTTGGACTAACTCACTTGAGGATTGAAAAGAAATTATCCTATATATAATACAAATAAACTTATTAGATCAAACACTTAAAATCACCAGTTTAACAAACATAAACATTGTATTTGCATGTTACTTCATTACAGACATTAAGGTACAACAATGGCAGTTCAATCAGACCTCATCTGATCAATTCCTGAAATGACATCGTTTGAATATTCAAATAAGGCTCACTGCTGCCACCGAGTGTTAGGATGAAAGTAGTGCAGCAAAGAAGTCAACAGGACTCAGGTAAGCGGTTGAACAACAACGTGTGATTCAGCAGGTCCTAACGAAACATTTAAACAATACACACCTTAAAGAGACTCAAGAGTTTTGTTAAGTTAAATGGTAACTTGAGACAAGTAGGAAATAAAATGGCTGCAGGATTCAAAGGAGTTCATGGAAAAAATGACAGTTGTTTCAAACAGGAATGGTTGTCATACAGTGTAAATTATGCTGGATGTCATTTCATGTTACGGACAAAATAAAATAAAGATAAAATATTGACTGGCTGTGGTGTTATAGAGGAATGTGGTGGGAGAAGAGCTGTGTTTGTGTGTGTGTGTTTTGATACAGTGCGAAGAGTGTTTGGAATTAAACACTGCTGCTCCCTGATGACCAGCAGTGAGTGGGTTCGCTGCCAGTGCCGGGGCCAAGAGTCAGTTAGAGGCTGCTTGCAGTACCGCTGAGTGGACAGAAGCACAGAGAAGGGTGGTGGCTTGGAGTGATGGTAGGGTGTGAAGGTTGGAGGTGATAAGACCAGGAGTCAGAGTTGGTCTCTGGTGTGCAGTCATGTTGGCTGCATGGTGGTGGTGGTGGTGGTGGGGGGACGGGGGAGGCAGGGGG